GCTACGGGCACGAGGGCCAGGGTTCGATTTCCGGCAGGGGCAAGATTTTTTTCTTCTCAACAGCATCCAGACCGACTGCTGGACCCATCCAACCTCCTATCCATTCGGTACTAGGGGCAGAGAGGCCTCGTCGGGAAGCTGTCCACTCACCTCTATCTAGCGGAGCTATACGTCCACTCCCCCACCCGTCTTCAATGCATACTGCTTAATTAATTAAGCATAGGGAAAACTTCACCTTTACTTTTATATTTTACTCAGTTCGAATCCATTTTGGTCAAGAAGTATTCAAAGAGGGTGGTATCCAATTAAAGGAGTTCATGTAATTTTCAATATCATGAAAATCCGTCAATTAATGCTTATTTTTTTGTTGTTTCTGTCGTGATGTATACAATAAGTAGCGTTCAGAGGCAGAATAATTTATGAATGATGATGATAGGCTTGTAGCCTATGCTAATGAAGTTAATTTGTTGCGAAAAAGAAAACACTGAAGTCCGTGTGACACTACTGAGACTGTTCGAAAAAGCAGACACAAAGAGAATTATGTGGGTGGTGAATTCAGACCAAACTCATGGCACAGAGATAGCTAAGGTACTTTGAATGTATAGCGTAGTTGAAATATTTACAAGTCCAATAAAAAATTTAAATTGTATTCATGAACAAATTAAGAACAAACTGAAATCAGGGATTGCTTTATTTCATTCTGTTCACAATCTTTTCTCTTGTCGTCCTCTATTTAAAAACTTTAAGATTAAAACACCTTTGTATTCGGGTAAAATTTTAAGGCAAGAACACAGACTCAGGAATGTTGAAAACAGACTGCCGAGGAGAATGGTTTTTACTGTGATGGAAGAAGCAACGGAATAATTAATGAGGATCTTGATACTTTTCGCTCCTCGCTAAATAATACCAGAATGATTACACACAGGAGGTTCGGATGGACTGGGAATGTAGCACGTATCGGAAAGAAGAGAAGTCCATGTAATATTCTGGCAAGAAAGCCTGAAGGATGTATATATCACTAGAAGGACCTAGGCGTACATGGGACGATAATATTAAAATGGAAATTAGAGAAATATAATGCAAAGGTGTGTACTAATCTGGTTCACGATAGGGACCAATGAGGGGCTCTTGTGAACACGGTAAGTAACATTCGAATTAAAGAAAACGTTAGGAACTTCTGAGGCAGCAAGTAACAGTCAGAAGCATGAAGTTATGGTATGTGAATTCAGTTGAGAGGAACCGTCCTTTGATAAGAGACGCAACCAATCTTCGCGTGTGTTGGATACACCATTATTGAGCGGTGAACACAGAAATTATGCATAATTATCTGGAAAACCGCAGTACTTAAGAGCGTGGTGCATTGAAGATAAATTGTGTTTCATTACTCTCTGCAACGTTTATGGCAAACGCTGTTCTCTCTGTTAAATATTTAACGAGTAGGAAAACGCAGAAAAGTATGTAGGCCTTCATGTAAATTGCCTTTTTTGTCAGATTTTGTCAGTAAATTGTATGATGATGCCTCAACATCACATCTCATGATGGTCCATGCAGCTGTTGTCGAGTTGTTTCACGCGCATGTACAGACAGACGGGTGAGATTCTAATAGGCGCTTCACAGAATTGCTAACGCGCCGAAAACGGGGAAGCAATTTCGTGTTCCTTGGACTCCCCGTACAAAAATTTTTAAATTGTACTGTTCTGTGTTGGTGCTCCGATGTCCCTTAGATTTTAATACCACGTTAAGAAGTTACCGTTAAACTGCAAATAAACCTGGTTACGAACTGTTAGGATTTGCTTTAGGAAGACAGCGAACAGGTCTCCAGGAAAGCCACTGCTGCTTTGCATTCACTGAAACAGAAGAAGCTTGAGAATCGCAGAAATAAAGAACGCCTTATCTCTGCTCTTGTTACTTTGGAGGGAGAAAGAACCCCGCTTGGGATTAGCGACAAGGATTAACGACACTACAAAAGGTTTTCCTGACAGACGCGGCGATACGTATTCATGATCAGCTCTGATAGACTGGAGGACGTTCCCCGCAATAAAACCGAGTTACGGCTCCTAAACGTCCAATAAAACTGATCGTCAGGGGTACTTACGCAAATGTGAGCCCCCACGCGCTCTGGAGACAATTATTGTTGCTTACAAAAACCCCACTATCTGCGCACCCGGGGGTAGGAATACCTGCGGGGTTTCCTTCTTGTGCTTCACTCATTTTAATGTTTCATTTCGCTGTTATTCTTCAATATTTGTATGATGGGACTAGAGAGGCGCTTCATAATTTGTACTCTTCTCCAAGTATAATCAGAATGATCAAGTCAAGGAGGATGAGGTGGGCAGCGCATGTAGCACGAATGGGGAGAAGAGGAATGCATATAGGACATTGGTGGGAAAGTCAGAAGGAAAGAGACCACTGGGAAAACCAAGGCGTAGGTGGGAGAACAACATTAAAATGGATCTTAGAGATATAGGACGGGATGGTATGGATTGGATTGATCTGGCTCAGGATAGGGACCAGTAGAGGGCTCTTGTGAACACGGTAATGAACCTTCGGGTTCCGTAAAGTGCTGGGAAATTCTTGAGTAGCTGCAGAATTGGCGGCTCCTCCAGAAGATTCAGCTCGATAAGTAAGTAAGTCCTCGGAGTTTTATTACAGCTGCTTCAAAATCTTCGCGATTTTCTCAGAAGGATGCTACCTTTACACATGTAACTTTGATTGCTACGAAGTTTCAATAAAATCGAAATAACTTTCGAAGTGGACTCCACTTGTGTCTGACACGCATTCAAAGAGATAGGGCCTATTACTTTTTAAGAAATTAGAGGACTCGAAGAATTTTCCGATATGTATGAGATATTCATGGATATGCCAATCCCCACCATAAACCGGGCACTTGCCTTGTGCATCGGAAAATTTTTCAGAATTCATTTCTGGAAGAATAGGGTGTTGAGGGTGTTGAGGGTGTTGGGGTGCGGATCACAGCTCAGGAACTACAGAAACTAACTTCAGCGTCATGAGCGAGTTTTCATGGAAAGAAAATAAAAGCGTTAAACGGCTTATGTGTAATTCATGTCCGCAAGTCTGTGCGCGGCCGGTCACGGTAGCCGAGCGGTCTAAGGCATGTACTGTCTTCGCTCGCTCGGAAGCCGGGATCGTGGGTTCGGATCTGTTTCCTGTGAGGTACGAACTGAATTCTTATATATTATTCTTATACACTGCCGGTCACGGTAGCCGCGCGGTCTAAAGCATGCACTGTCTTCGCTCTCTCGGAAGCCGGGATCGTGGGTTCGGATCTGTTTCCTGTGAGGTACGAACTGAATTCTTATATATTATTCTTATACACTGCCGGTCACTGTAGCCGCGCGGTCTAAGGCATGACCTGTCTTCGCTCCCTCGGAAGCCGGGACCGTGGGTTCGGATCTGTTTCCTGTGAGGTACGAACTGAATTCTTATATATTATTCTTATACACTGCCGATCACAGTAGCCAAACGGTCTAAGGCATGTACTGTCTTCACTCGCTCGGAAGCCGGGATCGTGAGTTCGAATCCCACTCAGGGCATGGATGTTTAGTTTGTGTGTCTGCGTTTTTCTGTGTTTGTTTACAGGTAGAGGCCTTGCGACGAGCTGATCACCCGCCCAAGGAGTCCTACCGTCTGTGTAAGATCTAGAAAAACCGAAGTGAACGGAGAAGTTCATGGAGGTAGGCCTAGGCCCACTGGGGCCAAGGAAAAAAAAAGTCTGTGCGTTGCCTAGTCTCAGCGCCGCTGCTGCTGATAGATTCTTATGAAATTCAGAGTGTGTAACAGAGTGAGTAACTTTCAAACTAAATAATTAAGCTACAGGACCGAGTGACTAATGTACTGACTGCACTAATAGAATAACTAATTGAAGTATTAGTTCAATTATTATTTTTATTATTCTCTTAAGAAATACAGGTTTGTTATTAGGTAAATAACTAATTATATGGGCAAATATCTTCATTGATAAGAACTTTTGCTCGTAGAATTTCTCGTATATTATTGAAAATGACTCTTTCATTATCGTGTTCCCAGCAGGCCGACACCATTTCAATCCCTGAGCGAGTTAAATCAATCTTTCATCTGCAGCATACTCGTATGTTTCTGTAGGATTCATATATTACTAATATCCTTAATGAAAGCTTTGTCGTACGGTTCCACACCATTTCCCCATTAAAGGAAATATGTTTCAGGACTTTTTGTGGATTCCGAGTGAAAATATGCCCTGTTAAGTTTCGTGTTTCGTTTTTCGTAATATTAGTACTATGTACATATTACTTCATCGGAAGTTTGTACATATTACGCAACATCGTGTGATACTTGGATCGAAATTGTCTCACGCAAATAATTAATGTAGCTACGAGTTGTCTGCTGCAGGCATAAATAACAAACATGGGTTCAGTTGCATAATGATATTTCAGGCTAAACACATGCATACACGTGTACTAAAGTTTGTATCACAAAATGAAACATTCACAGACCAGATTTTCTTAATGAAGTTTATCTCCGTAAAATATTTGTCCTGAATCAAGTGACGACTTGGTGGTTGTTCTGACACACGTGACGTCACACTTCCTTCTCCGGAGATTAAAATGTTTAGGGAGGATATCACGCCGTAATACAAAAATACAAATGAAAGTACAGGAATAACTTAGAATTGCGGCACAGTATAGCGGCAGGAGAGTTTTACAGCTGTGCAGAAATTGAAGACGCAGCAATAAAAATGTGTGTAGATGGTTACATTACTACTGAAAGACAATCTGAGACTATTTACTCGACAGATGGAACCAATTAGCGCAACAAGTTCATTATTATTTGTACTAATAAAATTTGTTTTACAAAATTTCAGGGAACAGAACTGTCTATTTCGCGAGGTTCCTTGTTCTGATTCCAGTGCTGATCAGAATTGCGCTGCTAATGCATTATTGAGGCAATGTTTGTTTCGACCGATTTATATACGCTCAGCTACAAGTGGCAAATTCACTCACCGATTCTAGCGGCAGATGGGTTAAACAGCAGGAACAGATGAAGCACGAGTCCCCAAAACAGCATCTTGTGTGGTCAGAAGAAATCTGCAAAAAGGAATATATAGATTTTTGTAAGTTAATTAAACTGGGCTGCAAATGTTGTACACTACGTGAGAAATCACATAATTAGATGTGAGATTCTTAATAGAAGAATAATTTTTGAGTAGTTTCTCATGTTTGAGAAGCCGTTACTTAGTAACAAGTTGTATATTTGAAGAAAGCAGTCTTCTGGGATGTGGCGCAGTGTAGATATTGTGTTAACCGACGTTTCGGAAGAACGTATTGCCTCCATCTTCAGGGTAGAAGAAAGAAGAAAATCCGCGAGCCAGGAACCAGCGTGAGCAGGTACTAACAGACTAATGTAGAGTCCGAAACGTCGGTTGACACAATATCTACACGGCACCACATCTGTTTTCTTCATAGTCGCCGCCGTGAAAACTTCAAATCTTACACAGTTGTATATTTTATTACCTCGTGGTCGTTGCCCAGCAACGGGTCTACATCTTTCTGTATGTCTTCGAGACGTTTCTTCCTTTCAAATATATTCGAACCAAAATTTTATATACATTTCCCAGTCTTCGTGTGGGCGACATATGCCGCCTTTTCATCTTCCTTAATTTGATCACGTAACTGATTCTGCTGAGGAGCGGATGCACAACAAAAAACGTTCATTTAGACGGGCTAATAGTAATTTCCCGAGCCTTGTGTTCATTTTCGTAACATAATTCTTTTTACGGTGAGGAATTGTTAGCCTCACGCCCTACCCCAAAGCTGGAGGACTACCGTTTGTCGGATGTCCGAAACTGCTTATTTAATATATTCACAGCTTCCCTCCATCTGCAACCTGGGGATGCGCCATGCCGTGGTGACAAGGAATCCACCTAACTTGGAGGAGGAGGAGAAGGTGGGCAGGGCATGTAGCACGAATGTGGGAGACGATGAATACATATAGGATATTGGTAGGAAAGCCAGAAGGAAAGAGACCGCTGGGAAGACGAAGGACAATATTATGATGGATCTTAGGGAGAGAGGATGGGATGATATGAATTGGACTGATCTGGCTCGGGATAGGGACCAACGTAGGGCTCTTGTGAACACGGGCATGAACCTTCGGGTTCCATAAAATCCTGGGAAATTCTTGAGTAGCCGCAGAATTGGCAGCTCCTCAAGAAGGGTTCAGCTCCTTGAGTATGGAAGTAATAGTAATTGTCTTTGTAGACTATCGCTTAGAATGTACTATGTCTACATGAGACAGAGGACTACCGTTCCTCGGAGAAACTCTCATTCTTTTAGCAGTCCATAAATCAGAAGGGTTGATAAACTCTGTAATGTGTGGCAGAGTGTTTTCTAACTCGGCTCACAGTCGTGTAGCTTGTCTCGCTTTCAAGTTAGGTCTACCGCATAATCCGTAACATTAAATTACTTTGCAAGTAATTCCACAACCTCGGCTAAAGACGTCGAGACAGCTTACTTTACTGACCGAGTAAAAATATGAAATTTTCATTTTCTATAAAACTTCTCAGAACTTTTCAAAAAATTATCGAGGTTGAAACAGAACTCCAAAAAAGTTTCTAAGTCTAACAGAAATTAGGCCGCGAGAGTGGGATAGGCTTCACTGCGCTGCATTTAAAATAATTCCTGTTTAATTACTCCCTCATGAATATTGGAACGCAGAAGCGAAAGGAAATTTTCCATTAGAGTTTCCTCTGAGCGTGTGTTGCCTTCATCCAACAAAGCGGAAAGAAACTGCTGCTGCAGAGATTCGGTGCTCTTTTATCAGGCGTTTTTTACGCGACATGGAAACAGGAGCGGAAAGGCGAACTCATAGTCCTTAGATATTCTGTCTATTTCGCCGCCCGGTATATATCAGTCTGTTACATTTACTACTACCAATTTATTATTGTAGAACAAAACGAACGCTACATGGCACGACCAAGAAACATTCCTATTTCGTTGACACGTATCCAACGATATTTAAAGTAGCGTCCAACAATTGTAGATATTAAGGATAACTAGAGTTTATGTAACATATAAATGTTTTGCACGATGAGTCCTTTCTATGAATCTTTCTTTCAAATAACGGAATTCAGTCAATAATGCGAGATTTAATTGAAATTGTTCGAAAATGCTTAAAGCGTAAGAATAGTCAAGTATTATTTGTCTGTCTCTCAATTTTCTGTGATGTTAAGTTTCTGAGACCGCCTCTGTGGTCTAGTGATCAGAGTTCCTGAGGTCCCGTGTTCGATTCCCGGCTCTACCATATTTTCTGAGAAGTAGTGGGTCTGGAACGGGGTCCACTCAGCCTCGTGGAGGTAATTGAGGAGCTACTTGAATGGAAAAGTAGAGGCTCCGGTCTAGAAAACCTAATTAACGGCCATGGGGATCCGTTGTGCTGACCACGCGACACCCTCTATCCGCAAAAGTTGGCATTAAATTCGTCGACAAGCGGCGGTTGCTCTGTCGGTATAGTTCGCTTGCGGACTACAGGACTAAGTTTCTGAACCCTCTGCAGGATTTAAATTTCTGTTTTGCTCCTTTGAATTCGAAGAGCTGCATAGGTTAACTTCATCTTGGTGGTGTAACATCTATCTTCATATACTTAGTTATACTGCACGGTCTTTCTCAGGCCTCTGAAACAGCAGAGTCTACCACGAAATATTGTAAGGTGCGACCAGTTCCTTCCGAAACGAACATCCTGCCACCTCACTTCCTCTAGCTTACGCAGAGTCGATGAATAACCAATGACCCAATATAACGTGGTGCCCTCTTATGGTACTACCCCCAGTCGCATACGGTTGTCATGGAAATGGCGCCACAGTGTGATCGTACAAAGATGTTAATATTTTAAAAGCTATGTTAAGAGCAAAGAGCTGGGATAGCTCAGTTAGCATACCGAGTGGCTACGGGATGGATGATCGAGGGGTCGGAGTTCGAGTCCCTTTAGTATTAAGAATGTTTTCTACGTCGTCCAGGCCGGCTCTGGGTCTCACCCAGCCTCCTATGCAATGGGTACCGGGGGCTCTTTTCCCGGGGTAAAGTGGCAGGGGCGTGAAGCTGACCACCTTCAGCTATTACCGAAGTTAAGAAAATATGGATCTACACATCTACTTTCCCATACGCCTTAATGGCCTAATGCTTATAAAAACGTTAATAACAACGTGATACACGTATTATTAACAGTGTTATGCGCTCAAGTAAAGCTATCACTGCGGTTAGTGACAGAACAGTTGTGCATAAGTGCTGTGGTGTAGGAAAGAAAATTCCCAACATTTCTACCTTTATCGTGTGAACTGCAACGGCTTGTTGAACATCTATCCCACACTTAGGCTTATCTATATGGATCTTACTGCAGAGAGCCTTGGGATAACCCATACCATCACTTGAATCATTAGGCAGTATGCCTCGGTAGAATGAGGTAGGAGCAATGGCGTGAGATATTAACTACAGGAATATCTCGCCATGTAACCTCACATTTCATAGTAGGCGCATGCATTCATTCTACTGAAATGTTGGCAGCACTGATCGTAATATTTGGAGTCGAATGGGGCGCAGGGGGACTGGGAGGTGAAAATTGATGCACCTCATGGCCCTGAGAGCTTATTCAATCCACTTACTCCTGAGGGTTCGAGGGGATGGAGGAACCCTGGTCCGGAGATGAAGGTACACCGGATCTGTTGTTCACTTGACGTATCAGCTGCTGAGGTTAACTAATGTAGAATGATGGTTTGTTGATAAACTATTCAAGGGGTTGTTGTCTCGTGCCTAATGGTAAAAAGAGGTAAAGCTATCCCTGTAACAGGCCTCGGAGGCGCATAGAGTTGTGAGACGTTGAGGCTCCTACATTATCTCGACAATCGGCTCAAAGATGGCGGTAAGGTTGTCAGCCGTACGCGCCGGCCGCCCTTTATCCCCCCAGGAAGATTCCTGGTACTCATTTATATTAAGAGGCTGAGTCGACCCCAGGGCCATAGTGCGGCTGGAAGGATTAAGTCAATTGAAAAAATCCAATGATCTCATCGGGACATGAACCCACGACTTTCCGGCTTGTAGCATAGTACCTAAACCAACTACGCTACCTCGTACCACCTTCGTGCCTAATGGTACGAGAAAATAATATTTGTGTTTGGAAGGAACCAGAGTGAAAACGTTTCCGGCCTATGTGAAAGCAGGGTGACCTTGAAAAGTAGACATATCTTATGGGATGTTACGCCGTGTAGTCCGGTAGATGCTTATTGGCATTTCGGAATAATTTCCTATCTCCATAATCAGGTTAGAAGTGTAAGCTAAGCTGCAACGAGGGGAGTAAGCTGAGTGTTGTTAAGTTGTCCGGACATAAGCAGGGAAACGTGTCACGTGATATAACCTCTTCCCATTGGTGAATCGTGCCGTCATGTTTCCCTTTACTTGAGACCCTGACCCACGGCCTTAATTAGCCCTTAACTTTCTCACTTTTCTTCTCAGTACTGTTGGTTCTGTCAGGGCTGCTTGCATCTGGCCCCTGTCTGGTTTATTCTTAGACCCTGCAGACGGAGGCAGTATGTTGGTTCGAAATATCGGTAAACTTCTACCGGATTGCATGGCGTCATAATGCAGAAGATATTGTCACGTAGGAGGGGTTTGCGTGATTAATATTAACGGGTTCTGGATTTGACCATTGGATTTATTGACACTTATTTACAATTACATTCAATTATGACAGCTCACAATGAATGACTGCCTAAGACTCGCTCCATCCCTGACTGGACTACGAGTGTCTTCTCTTCTGCGTGACTGACTTGGTTCTGATTTACGAGTCGGACACTTCTTCAGCTTCCGTTGTTCGCAGGTTAACAATCCACAGCTGAACACTCAACTTCTGAATGAATGAAATACGACGACTGCCTTACGAATGAATTCTCCTTAGCGCTCTCACGTGACTTGTCTTCGTGAGAACCAAATAGAGATCACCAGTTACAACAGTCCATGTGATTGCCTGCTTATCACTTGCTGCGGGAACGACTATTAATTCCGTAGCAACTCTTTGGTTTCACTATTCCGGCTTTCAG